TGTTCTCAGTGGCAATAACTGAGGGCAGAAAGCAATGGAACAGCACGTTCAACATGCTGATGCTGTGATCCTAGAATGCATACCTTCCAAAATGATCAAGAATAAGGAAGAAACAGACACGCTTTCAAAGAACCAAAACAGAGACTGTCACTATCAGTGCCTCACTAAAGGAAATTTGAAAGCAAAGATCAGCAAACTTATTCTGTAAAGAACCAGATAGTAAATATTTCAGGCTTTACAGGCCGTATACCTCTGTCACAACTACTCCACCCCTGGGACATAAAGAGACAAAAACAATATGTAAACAAACAGGTGAATCAACAAACCACAGCCTACAGGCCCAGTCCAGCCTGCTGCCTGCTTTTGCAAATAGCAGTGCGTTGACCCATTCCTACATATAAGCTATGGGCAGAAGAAAAGTGATTTGAGATAAAAGTTCTCATAGGTGAGAGTGTAAATGTGTAGTTCTAAACAAACATCATTGATAAAAAAGCTGTGCTACATATACACAATGGAGTACTATGCAGCTGTAAGAAAGAAAGATCTCTTATCCTTTGAGATGACATGGAGGACCTGGAAAGTATCATCCTAAGCGAAACAAGCCAAGCAGAGAAAGACAGATACCACATGATCTCACTTATTTGTGGAATATAATGATCATAACAGTCTGGGGAATAGGGTAGACCCAGAGACGTAGAAGTAAGGTACAGCCCTGGCCAGTTTGGCTCAGCAGTTAGAGCGTCGGCCTGCAGTCCCGAGAGACCCGGGTTCAGTTCCCGCTAAGGGCATGTACCTCGGTTGCAGTTTGTCCCCAGCCGTGGTTGGTCGTGCGGGTGGCAGCCACTCGATGTGTCCCTTTCACATCGATGTTTCTCTCTCTCTCTTCCTCTCTCCCCCTCCCACTCTACCTGAACAAAAAATAGAAAAATGTCCTCAGGTGAGGATAAAAAAAATAAAAAAAATAGAAGTAAGGTACAGACTGACAACCCTCAGAAGAGGGTGTGGTGGGGGGAGAGAAGAGATAAACCACAGAACTTATATGCATACACGCATAACCAATGAACACAGACAACAAAGCAGGGGATGGGGTGGGGGCATTGGGAGGAGGGTGTCAATGGGGAAAAAAAGGAGAAATATCTGTAACAAAAATAAAATAAACAAACATCGATTTATACAATCATCTCCTGTGAGGTAACAAAAAGTAAGATATAAAGTATCACATATACATATATAACACACATAAATATGGGGCGAGAGTAGCATATACGTCGGGAGGGAAGCTAACGTGTGGAGCCTCACACTGCTGAACAGGAGAGTAAAGTCATAACTAAGCACTGATTTTTCTAGTGTAAGCACTAAAATCAAATAACTTCAGAACATAAGGCGGAGAGGGATGTGAAAAAACAAAAGGCAATTGTAAGATCATAAAAAATTTAAATTGGTCTCTGCCCTCAGTTCCTGTCAGGGCTCCTGACACCCTGATCTCCTGGGTGACAGGAGTGTCTTTCGTTGTAATGAGGCAACTCTAGGAGGGCACCTGGGTGGCTCCTGGGTGGGGCTGGTCCCCAGGAAGAACAAGCCATGACTGGAAGCTGGGACTTTCTGGCCCACCTCCCACGCTCTTGAGGGAGAGGCTGAACACAGTTACTGAGCGATCGCGCCCACGTGGTGAAGCCTCCATAGATCCCAGCAGCCTGGGGTTCGGGGAGCTTGGGGTGGGTGTGCCGTGGAGGTGCTGGGAGAGGGGTGCCCCCACATGCCTTGCCCTGCACATCTCCTCCATCTGGATATTCACCTTGATCCTTATCACATCCTCTTATAATAAACATAAACAGTAAGTAAACAATTTTCTTGAGTTGTGATTTGCTCTAGCAAATTAATCGAACCTGAGGAGAGGGTCATGGGACCTCCGATTTGTAACCCGTCAGCCAGAAGAGTGATGACTTGAATTGCAACTGGCTTTGGAAGGGGGCAGTCTCGTGGGACTGAGCCTCGCACCTGTGGGATCTGAAGCTATCTCCAGGTAGGCAGTGTCAGAATCGAGTTAAATGGTTGGATACCCAGCTGGTGTTACAGAGAATTTGCTTCTTATGGGATAAAACTCCCTCACAGTGGGTGACCAGAAGTGTCAGAAGTATGAGTGTGGTAGTAGTGTGAGTAGTAAAGCAATCATCTGAAAACTACAGAACATTATTGAAAGAAATGAAAGATCATCTACATAAAAGAAAGACATCTTGTGTTCATGGATTGGAAGACTTAATATTGTTAAGATGACAATACTCCTAAACTGATCTATAGATTCAGTACAATTCCTATGAGAATCCCGTCTGACATCTTTGTAGAAAATGACAAGTTGATTCTAAAATTCATATGGAATTGCAAAGGATAGCCAAAACAATCTTTAAAAAGGAACACAATGTTTGCGGATTCATACTTCCCAATTTCAAGACTTACTACAAAGCAACAGTAATCAAAACATGTGGTATTGTAAGGCTAGACATTAGAAAGATTAAATAGAATTGACAGTCCAGAAATAAACCCACATGTCTATAGTCAACAGATTTTTTTATAGGGTTGCCAAGACCACTCAATGGGGAATAGCATTTTTCAACAAATGGTGCTTAATTAGCTGGATATCCACATGCAGAGAATTGAAGTTGAACCCCTACCTCACTCTGTATACAACTTACTCAAAATGGCTCAAAGATCTAAATGCAAAAGCTAAAACTATAAAGTTCTTAGAAAACAAGGCACTGCCCTGGTCGGTTTGGCTCAGTGGTTAAGAGCATTTTACTGAGGACCAAAGAGAGTCAGGTTTGATTCCAGTCAAGGGCACATACCTTGGCTGCTGTTCCATCCCCAGCCCTAGTTGGGATCATGCAGGAGGAAACCAATCGGTGTGTCTCTCTCACATCAATGTTTCTCTCTCTCCCTCTCCCCCACTCTATCTGAAAGTCAATGGAAAAATATCCTTGGGTGAGGATTGAAAAAAAGAAAAAAGGAAAACAAGGGCATAAATCTTTGTGACCTTGGATTTGGCCACTGATTCTTAGATGACACCAACAGCACAAACAACAAAAATATCAGCAAAATCTACATAATATTCGTTCCATTTAAGATTGAACTCACTGGCAAGGAAGAGTCGCTGTGGTAAGAGGGATGCCTATGTTACATTCCAAATATGCAGGCAGGAAAGCTCCCCACAAAACCAGAACAGTGAGCCCAGAAAGAGGACAATCCATCTGCCCTGGGGTCCACATGGTGTGCACACTAACTACACACACAGCTTTGAATCTTGGTGGTGTCACCAAAGGACTTGTAAGAGCACAGCACCCTAGAAAATTATCCTAATAACTGTTAACTGGTAACATCACAATTAAGAAGAAACTATACTCCATGTAAAAGGCATATGTAGCCCTACTAGAAAACCATTATGTGGTGTTTTTTTTTAACTTAAATATTACTGGATACTGACTTAAGACATGCTAGGAGGGATATTAAAAAAGCCTAAGAAGCCCAGCCGGTATGGCTCAGTGGTTGAGCATCAACCCATGTACCAAGAGGTTGCCGGTTCGATTCCCAGTCAGGGCACATGCCCAGTGGGGGGGCATGCTGGAGGTGGCCAATTGATGTTCTATCTCATCAATGTTTCTATCTCTCTCCCTCTCCCTTCTTCTCTCTCTAAAAATCAATAAAGGGAAAAAAGCCTAAGGAACAGTCTCTGGCTCTAAAGGCATTTGATTTGCAGCACTGCTAGAAAGAAAACACTTTATCACATAATTTCTAAAACAGTAGGAACAAAACCACACAACAGCAAGCAAAAGTCAGTTGACAAATCTGATATTAGTGTTCAGACTAAGGGAAGAAAAAAAGAAATCTCTATCATCTAAGGTGGTCAGAGAAGTCTTTATAAAAGGCCCACTAGCCTGGCTGGTGTGGCTCAGTGGTTGAGTGTAGACCCCTGCACCAAGAGGTTGCCGGTTCAATTCCTGGTCAGGCACATGTCCAGGTTATGGGCCCGATCCCCAGTGGGGAGCATGTAGGAGGCGGCCAATCGATGTTCTCTCTCATCAATATTTCTTTCTCCCTCTCCCTTTCTCTCTCTCTAAAATCAATAAACAAAATTTTTTTTAAATAAATAAAAGGCCCACTAAAATAAAAACAGATTGGAGGGGAAGGTCAGCCCACATATACACACAGTCTTCACATAGAGCTACAAATGTGTAAAAATAATCATGGGAGGTCAGAGAACCAGGTCAGGTCAGAGGAGAAAAAACTAGTTTGACTAGGATTTTACCCACTTTTGCAGGCATCTGAAGTATATATTAACCCTATACAAAAATGATTGTGTATTTGTATATGGGAAGACTTCCCTGCTTGATTTACCATAAATATACAGCAAACACAATTGGCATGAAGAGAGCTTTAGATATTTTAAATATAACAAATGTCTCTTTTCATCTAAAGCTAGAAATTATAACCAGTATTTTTAAAAATATATATATTTTTATTTTTAGAGAGGAAAGGAGAGAGAGAAACATTGATGTGAAAGAGAACCATCCATGAGCTGCCTCCTGCACGCCCCTTACTGAGAATCAAGCCTGCAACCCAGGCTTATGCCCTGACTGGGAATCACAGCAGTGACCTCGTGGTGCATGGGTCAACGCTTAACCACCGAGCTACACCTGCCAGGCATAACCAGTATTTTTTAATAGTAACACAAACCAACAGCTGTCCATAAATATACAAATGTTAATACCAGTAATTCCTGTTCTTTGGAATGATGGGAGACTTTGCTTCCTCGCTCTTTTCCTGTACTTGCCAAATAGAATTTTAAGAAAAAGGGCAACAGTTATTTTTTTAGGTACTACCTTTATAATTTAAAAAGAATTTTATTTTAAAAGCACACGTGTCGATATTCATAAATGTATGGAGTATCGCTGGAAGAATGCTAAGAAACTGGCCACAGTGGGAAACTGGGAAGTTGGGTGACTCATAGTGAAGGGGTCAGAAGATATACTTTGCAATGTATTCCTTTCTGTATCTTTTAAATTCAGTCTCATGTTTATTATCTATTTAAAAACAAACAGTTTTCGAAAACCCACAATGATGTGAAACAGGACGAACATTTAAATGTCCCCACTCGATCTGCATTGACTATTGATATATGTGGGAAGCAAAGCGTTCACAGGCGTGAACTGGAAATCTTTTCCTCCAGCCTTAGTGAGAGTTGTCAGAACTGATGTATTAACTGAAAGAACATATCCTTCGGAGGTAAATAAGGGTCTTGTCGGGGTAACTACACCGATCAGTGTTCCAAGGACGTCCCTGGGCACATGCAGCTGCCACCCGACTGCTGACTGTAGAACCCGTCCTTGATGCTAGCAGCCCATGACGAACGGGCACCAGACTGTGACCTCTAAGGGACCACAGACCCCGCAACTTCCTTGTGCTGCAACCGTCTCTTCCTCAAGTTGGCTTCTCATCCTTGTGGCCAGAGTGTACCCTGTGTGGTGACTAACACAGTGGAAGCTGGTGTCGGAGTCCTCACGATGCCATCTGTTAGAAATACAGCTGTGTTCCTTGCTCTTAAAGCCACGTCAACTTGCTGACAGGCGGGTATGAATGACCAGGAGAACCTGAAACCCGCTCTGGTGACAATATGCTAAAGTAACACAGCACTTTGTCATTTCATGTTACAATTAGCAAAAATCATGATGAGCTCCTTATTGGATCATTAAGGAAAACAGGAATGCAAATATGATCTTTTCAAAACTAGTGATGGAATCCAGCGTTAAGGTGCTATGTGGCCCACTTAGTCAACAGTTAAAACCCTCTGCCACTTGTTAGCTACAGATTGGCCATAGCAAATAAGTGGTTGTCACTTATTTGGAAGGAAGTCACACAAGCACTTGCAAAGATTTTAATTAGGAAAAAAGTGTTTTAAAAAATATTTAGCAGAATTATACTTTATGGGCCAAACATGCATCCACTTAAATTAATCAGGTTTCCTATCTTGTTTTTTAACTTTGTTCCATTTCATGGAGCATTAATATTAAATGCCTATAAAATACACTTCATTTGAAATGCTTTAAGTATAAAACACATAATTCAAGCACAAAACAACGCATTATGGTCTCATGAATACATTTACAAAACTCAGAAATGAAAAATTAACAGCTTCAAATAAGTAGATAATACTCTACAAAGGGTTGCTCAACAAGTGACATTTCAAACAAAGAAAAGCACACGCAGTGCCAGGTAGTGTTATCTTGTAGTAGTACTGCATGAGCTTTAAAAACAAAGTTTCAAATTCTAGTAGCAATATTAAATTGTTTTCTAATATTGCTGGATTAAAAATAGTATGAAGTCTTTAAGGTACTTATCAGAAAACTGTGACCTTCCAATTGGTAATGTGACTTTTAAAATATGCCAAGAGTGTAAATCATGAGCAACAACATGTAGCTGCCCATAAAGTCACATATTTCTTATCACTAATCTGCTACAATACTGGCCAGTACACAGGTATGACAGACAGACGTCTCTGGCTCAATGACAAATGTACTAATCGTAAATCTTATAAGAATTGCATGTAAAGTCCAAGAACAAGTAGGTTCTCCTCTGTTTTTTAAAAAACAAGAATAAAAGTCAGTATAAGTCAGATTTTTAACTTAAGTGAAAATTCATTTTTAAAAGTGTCAGAGCTGTATTCATCTTCTTTTTCAGCTGAAAGGGTGAAGCACAATAGCCACAACTTTGTTACAGACTAAAATCCAGCAGGTAATTCCAACACCACCTGAAAACAAAGAAATCCCACATAAGAGCACACCAAGTGTCCCGCCCACTGCCCCCACCTCTGCTACTTTTATCTTAGAGGAAATAAGAATAGTTCCACTCTTCTTGAGCAGTGCTGGGCTAAAACGAAGTTTGTACTTTGTGGGTTCGAGTGCATCGGACTTTCTACTAATTCACAGGGCTGCCTTCTTTACTAAGCAGGAACTACACAGAACAATGAGCACTGGTTTGAATTGCTCTTCACTGCCAGAGAAATATACTTTATTATTTATGATATTAACAGACTGTAAGCCCACTCTGTGAAACTATTTGGTCTTCCCTTCTCAAAAAAGCTTGCCCAGCCAGTGTGGCTCATTTGGTTAAGGGTCATCCCATGTACCAAGAGGTCACTGGTTCAATTCCTTGTAGGGGCACATGCCTGGGTTTTCAGCTCAATCCCCAGTAGGGGGCGTGCAGGAGGCAGCCGATTGATGTTTCTCTCTCATCACTGTTCTATCTCTCTCCCCCTCTCCCTTCATCTCTCTCTAAAATCAATAAAAACAGCCCTGGCCGGTTTGGCTCAGCGGTTAGAGCGTCAGTCTGTGGACCAGAGAGTCCCGGGTTCAGTTCCTGCTAAGGGCATGTACCTCGGTTGCAGTTTGTCCCCAGCCCTGGTTGGGGTTGTGTGAGTGGCAACCACTCGATGTGTCTCTCTCACGTCGATGTTTCTCTCTCTCTCTCTTCCTCCCTCCCGCTCTATCTGAAGATAAATGCAAAAATGTCCTCAGGTGAGGATAAAAAAAATAAAAATATAAAATCAATAAAAACATATAAAAAGAAAAGCTTTATAAATAAAGCAATGTTTACCCACACCTTTCTTGTACCACTGGTAAATGAGACACAGAAAGACAGGCTGCAAGAGTGGCCCGTGGCCTGCTGGCTGCCTGGAAGGGTGGCCTCCTGCACCAAGGACTGCCCTCAAGATGGAGTCCCGATGCCACACCAGCCGGTGTGACTCAGTGGCTGAGCCTTGACCCTGCACCAAGAGGTCGCTGGTTCGATTCCTGGTCAAGGCATATGCCTAGGTTGTGGGCCTGATCCCCAGTGGGGGGCATGCAGGAGATAGCCAATCGATATTCTCTCTCATTGATGTTTCTATCTCTCTCTCTCCCTCTTCCTTCTTCTCTCTCTAAAAATCAATAAAGAAAAAAATAATAATAAAGAAAAAAAAGACTGCCCTGGCCAGTTTGGCTCAGCGATTAGAGTGTTGGCCTGCGGTCCCAAGAGACCCAGGTTCGGTTCCCGCTAGGGGCATGTACCTCGGATGTAGTTTGTCCCCGGCCCTGGTTGGGTCATGTGGGTGGCAGCCACTCGATGTGTCCCTTTCATGTCGATGTTTCTCTCTCTCTCTCTCTTCCTCTCTCTCCCTCCCACTCTATCTGAACAAAAAATGGAAAAATGTCTTCGAGTGAGGATAGAAAAAAAAAGATTGAGTCCTGAAAAGAGGTGGGGGAAGGGACGGGGGCGTGGGTAAATCTAAACAGTCATCACTGTTAATTTAGTAATTCACCTCCAGCATTATCACAAATCATTACCAAAGACTGACTGACAAGAACATGTGCTACAATATTATCCTTGGTAGAAAAAATTAGTACCTCAATAAATATCTTTTAAGAGGGAAATTAGCTAATTATAACACATCCAAATGAAGAACAGCTATTCACAGTTCCTTAATAAAGAAAAGTTTATTGATAGGAGAAAAGGCTTACAATATAAAGTAAAAAGGGACAAAAAATTGGACAACCTTAACTATACGAGGGTGGGTGGAACAGGTCTACAGCTGTTTGTATAGAAAATATATAATACCAGAGAAATTATAACACGAGGATAAACTCTGCTTGTGCGCTCACAACTGTAACCCTACCTCTGCCCACCCCCATATAAAAACAAATAGGAAAAAAAGACTGGAAAATGTGCCCAAATGTTGAGAGGGGTTATCCATGGCTAACGGTTTTTTTTCTTATATTAGTAGTCATTCTACAATGACATGTACTACATTTAACACCCAAAAGAAATTACTTTTCAAAAATAGAAGCATGGCTGAGAGCCGCAAACGCTCTCACTGCGCACAGAGCTGACAGCGGGCGCGGAATTTGGGAGCCTGAGCAGTGCTTGGATACACAGGGCAAGGGCTGCGGCTCGGGCGAGTCCAGAGGCAGACCTGGGCTGGAGTCCCGCTCTCTACCTAACATTTCAGGGACAGCAGGCCAGTGCAGTGACTTCTCTGGATCTGTTCCCTCACTGCAAGCCTCGCGGGCTGAGACACAAAGCACTGCTCCCAGGTGCGTGGACGAGGACGTCAGGCCGACTTGGGCTTCTACTTCACACCTCCTCGTGAATCTCTCCACATTCTCCCACTGTGTTTTCCAGAAAACTCTTACCTGCGACTCTAGTGGGAAATGCGACCAGGCGGTCCAGCGGCGTTATCCACTTACTTGGCACCACGGCCACAGGAACAGAGTAGTACTTCCAGATGAGGGAGACCATCAGGGCGGCCTGCGAAGACACTGTGGTGAGTGCAAACCACCTGCGGTCATGCAACCAGTCACCACTGCAAGGGGAGGGAACGTGAAAACAGACTAAGGACACTCCACACCGATGACCTCAAGCCCTATCAATCCAGCCCCTACATCGATAATAGTAGTTGACCCTTGAACAACACAGGTTAGGGGCACCAACCCCCGACACAATAAAAATCTCAGTGTAACTTTTGACCCTCCAAAAACGTAACTACTAATAGCCTACTGTTCACTGGAAGCCTTATCAGTAACATAAACAGTCAATGAACACATATTTTATGTTATATGTATCATATACTGTGTGCTTAGAATAAAGTAAGCTAGAGAAAAAAAACGTTATTAAGAAAATCATAAAGGCCCGGCCAGTGTGGCTCAGTGGTTGAGCTTAGACCCATGCACCTAGAGGTCGCTAGTTCGATTCCTGGTCAGGGCACGTGCCCAGGTTGTGGGTCTGATCCCCAGTGGGGGGCATGCAGGAGGCAGCCAATCAATGTTCTCTCTCATCAATAATTCTATCTCTCTCTCCCTCTCCCTTCCTCTCTCTCTAAAATCAATAAAGAAAAAAAAAATTTCTTTTAATCAATAAAGAAAATAAATTAAAAAAAAAAAAAAAAGAACTCCAAAGGAGTTGCTTCAGTGTTCATTTGCTTTTTTTAAAAAATCCCGATATTTAACAATTCTACTCAAGAGAAAGGCCTTCTTTTTTTTTTTTTTTTCAATCCTCACCCGAGGACATTTTTCCATTCCTTGTACAAATAGAGTGGGAGGGAGAGAGAGGAAGAGAGAGAGAGAGAGAGAGAGAAACATCGATGCGAAAGGGACACATCGAGTGGCTGCCACCCGCACGACCAACCAGGGCCGGGGACAAACTGCAACCGAGGTACGTGCCCTTAGCGGGAACCGAACCTGGGTCTCTCTGGACCGCAGGTGGATGCTCTAACCGCTGAGCCAAACCGGCCAGGGCGAGAAAGGCCTTCTTTAAGTCTAACTTACAAATTCAGAGTGTTCAGAGTTACGTGCTGGCAGGACCACTCAGCACAGCAGCTGAAGGGGGAAAAGCCTGAATTCCCTGGCCTGGATTCCAGGGGCTGAACAGTTCTGGAACAAAGACCATCACTAACTTTAATGACCCCGGTGACACAACAGGACACTTACTTGCAATATGTAGAAAGCAACGCTTATAACCCATTTTATCTTGGCCAGCTGAGCGGTCCGTGCTTTCACTGGAAGAAAAAACAGGACAAAATGACTATATCGGTCCTGAAGAGGGAAGAAAATATTCACGTACACAGAAATGTTATTTCCTTTCACATACACTAATTATGTATGCAAATATAAATGTCTTAAGTCACCCCCTATGCTATTATTTAAAATAGAATCACACAGAGATTGTGAGATGTGAAGCTTTAATTTTGAAAAACTTTAAGGCTATTCATCTAAATCAGTCTTTTTACAATGTACTTACCAACAGGACGAAATGTTCCTCCCTGATCTCCCGGTCTACACTGTACTCTCATCCATAAAGGAGAATCTAGCTTGCCTCAGGCCCGGCAGGTCCCTCTGCAGGTTTTACTAGCCATGCAGACAGCTGTCTCACTGTCACGCTCTGGGCACACAGGCTGCCCTGTGAAAATCGTCTTCTTTACAGCAGATATTAGCGACAGTGGCAAACATAAAAATAAGTAAGACCTGAGCCCTACCCGGAGTCTACACTAGGATAAGGATACTGCTGGGCACTTTCTAGAGAGCGGAACAAAAGCGCTCCTGAGAATCCATTTGGAGATTTTTTTCTAGGCTTCTCTCAGAACTGTTGAATTTGAAAATGACAAACTAAAAACTTGGCTCTGAAGAAACTCTAAGAGTATCCTGGATGTTTCAGTGTTTAGAAAGCAAAGGATCACCAGCTAATAAAGAAAAAGTAGTAATTACTATTGGGTTTCTTCAAGACAACTTAAAATTCTATATTAACACTTAGAACAACCAAGCATCAGTACACATACTGTATAATCTCTATATAAAGACTTCTCTGGGAGTCAGCGCCTATGAAGCTTTCCAAACTCCAAATGAAAACAGTACCGTGAGGGAGCATCTGAAGTCTTGCTTCCCAGCAATGTCATCAGTTTGGTTCAAATCAACTCTTATAAAAATTAAAGGGAAAAACAAAAACAAAAAAACACAACAAAAACTGCACCATGAGTTTTGAGCTTATCTGTCATCTTGTTGATCTTTCTTTCCAGCCTGGCGTATCTGGCAAACTCGTCCATCATGTTGACGGTGGAGAGCTCCTGCTTCATGTCCTGGATCTCTGCTCTCATCTGAGACTCCTGCTCCGCATCCTTCTGCAGCACCCTGGACATCTGGTGGAGTGGACAGTGAGATGGGGCCTTTCCACTTGGGGACAATTCTCCCTCACCTCCCCCACCATCCTACCTGCAGCCTCTTTCAGCCGGGCAGGCTGCCCTTTACCCAGACAGCCAGCCTCTGCTACCTTGGCCTGGTCCTGCTGCCTACAACTGCAAAAATAAAAAACTCCCTCCGATTTGAATCCCTATTCACATATTTTTCTGTTAGAAGACATGCCAATGGATTGCTACGGCACATATGTGTATCTTTCACTACAACTATAAAATTGTAATTATAAAATAAAAAATGTGCCCTGGCCGGTTTGGCTCAGCGGTTAGAGCATCGGCCTGCAGTCCGGAGAGACCCGGGTTCGGTTCCCGCTAAGGGCATGTACCTCGGTTGCAGTTTGTCCCCGGCACTGGTTGGTTGTGCGGGTGGCGACCACTCGATGTGTCCCTTTCACATTGATGTTTCTCTCTCTCTCTGTTCCTCTCTCTCCCTCCCACTCTATCTGAACAAAGAATGGAAAAATGTCCTCGGGTGAGGATGACAAAAAAAAAAAAAACAGATTAAAAAAAAAAAATGTTTCCATCCCCAGAGCTGTCATTCAGGTACAGGGACAATACATTTTCTTCCCTCTCTGAAGAATTCAGTCCTAAATTAGGTAGGCAGAGCAGGATGGGGGTGCAGAGTGCCAGTGATGAGGACTCAGAGCCCAAGCACCCCCGAAAAGGGACACCCTGGCAAGGAGGGAGGCGCTCGGGGAGGGGGTCAGAGCCAAGCACAGTGATATGGGGGTCTCTCTCCAAGAAAGTATAGCCTGACGTGGGAGTCAGAGCCTGAGCAGGATGAGGGGCACATATGTGATAAGAGGAAGGTACCCGGCCAAACAGGCTATCAGAGCCACCCTGGACAGGGGGTGGCAGTGGGAGAGTAGTTAGAAAGGATTCATCAAATAAATACATTAAAGATAACGGGAGCCGGTTTTCACAGTCAGGCCTACGGTGCCTGCGCAGAGCGTGTGGCTCGCTGGGACTCTCGCCCCGCCCTCCACCATGTCAGTCCCTAGCGCCTGCGCAATGCACACGGCTCCAGGAGACCCTCTCTCGGCCCTCTCCGGGCCAATCCTCAGGCACCTGTGCAGTGCGCCTCCTGCACCCCACGCACAACCGGTCAGGCAGGAAAGTCTTTGCCCCTCTTCCCCTCGACCGCCTTTGGCTAAAGAAAGTTCTGGATCGCCTACCAAATTAAAAGGCTCTCTCGTCCATGTGTCCTGAACCAGCTTGAAGGGAAAAAAGCAAGAACTCTCAGGAAAATTCCAAGTCAACACCAGGCACTAGGGTGTCCTTATCCAAGCACGCACCCCACCCCAATATTCGACTGAGATCCACAACCCACCTCAATACTTGACCGAGATCCCCTCCCACGACCTTGCAAGGTTTCGCAGGACAGAGGATTCCTGACGTTAGTATTCCTCAAGGGCCTCAGGACAGGGGCCCAGGGGATTAGTTGTGCATCCTTCCTTTGCTTCTGGCTGGATGGAAACCATCAGAAACATTGCAAGAAGGTTATAATCTGAAGTCCAGGAGTGTGGTCCATTCCCAATCAAACTGTTTTTCTTTAGGGCGTCTTTCCCACTTGGATGCTCAAATCAGGACCTCTGATGGTGCAGCCTCTACTGGTCATGAAGAACCAGTATTGTTCCTTACAGCTTTTCATTGACCCTCATCACAAAGCCTGTGACCAGACAGAACAACAGGGGCTGTACTCTGCTAAGATAATCTGAACCTGGCTAACAATCCCAGCAAACAGTGCTACAACCAAAGGAAAGAGGTTTAAGAAAGCTAGCTGCTTTGCCCTGGCCGGTCTGGCTCAGCAGTTAGAGCCTGCAGACCAGAGTCGCGGGTTCAATTCCGGTCAAGGGCATGTACCTCTGTTGTGGTTCATCCCCAGCCCTGGTCAGAGTGGTGCCAGAGGCAACCAGACAATGTGAGACACATCAATGTTTCTCTCTCGCTCGCTCCCTCCTTCCCACTCTATCTTAAGATAAATAGAAAAATGTCCTCGGGTGAGGATTAAAAAAAAGAAAGCTGCTTTGAGCTTAGAAAGGTTATGCAGCCTGTAAAAAGCAGCAGGATGTGACACCAGTGCAAATCCATGATGAATAGCCACCCTTACAGGGCAGAAGCTCACCCATGTCTAGACTGCAGCAATAACCTCTTGTGACAGTGTTCGGTGTAGGCTTGGTGAAGGAGCCTGAGATGACAGATCTTATTTATAGCTGTTGACATACCCCAAAGACACACTCCAACTCCTCCCTCAGCTAAGGATAAATGACAAACAATCCATAGAGGAATATAATACACAGCCTCTGAGCAGTTGAGATTAGTTGCATGTAGCTCCAATATGAGGTGAAATGGGATGGGGTACATAAGAATGGAGGTGATACTGCAAGAAAGATGGACAGAAAACCCACAGAATGGAAGACAGTATCTGCAAATCACATATCAAATAAGGAGTCAGTATTCAGAACATACCAAGTACTCCTAATTTGCCCAGCTGGTGGCTCAGTGGATTGAGCATTGTGCCAGGAACTGAGAGGTCCCGGTTCAAATTCCTGTCAGCGCACACACCGTGGTTGTGGGCTTGATCCCCAGTTGGGGGCATGCAGGAGGCAGCCGACTGATGTTTTTCTCTCACATCAATGTTTGTATCTCTCTTCCTTCCTCTCTCTCTCTCTAAATAAATAAATAAATAACTCTTAATTCAACAACAAAAAACAGCCTCTCACTCCTGCTGTGAGCCTACAGAGGGTGCCTTTCCCGTGGGGACAGCTCCTGGTGCCCAATTTAAAAATGGCCAAAGGACTGAATAGACATTTCTCTAAAAAGATAAAAATGGTCAATAAGCACATGAAATGATGTTCAACATCACTAATCATTAGAAAAATGCAAATCAAAACCATAATAATATACCATTTTGCACCTATTAGAATGGATATTATCAAAGCAACAACCTAAAATGACAAGTTGCAAAGAATGTGGAGAAATTGCAACTCTTGTGCAATGATGGTAAGAATATAAATGGTATAGCTGCTGTGAAAAATAGAATGGTAGTTTCTCAAAAAAATTAAATGTAGAATTATCATATGATCCAGCAATTCCACTTCTGGGTATTTACACAAAAGAACTGAAAACAGTCCAGCCAGTGTGGCTCAGTGGTTGAGCGTCAACCTATGCACCAAGAGGTCGCCAGTTCGATTCTGGGTCAGGACACGTGCCCAGGTTTTGGGCCCAATACCCAGTAGGGGACATGCAGGATGCGGCCAATCGATGTTCTCTCTCATCAATGTTTCTATCTCTCTCCCTCACCCTTCCTCTATCTCTCTCTAAAATCAATAAAGGAAAAAAAAAAAAAAAAAGAATTGAAAACAGAGACTCACATAGATATTTGTACACCAATGTTCTACTAGCATTACAACAGCCAAAAGGTGGAAGGACACAAATGCCCATCAAAAGATGAACAAATAAACAAAATGTAATACATAGAATGGACTAATATTCAGCCTTAAAAAGGAATGCAGCTTTTTCTTCCTTCTCTCTCTCCCCCCTCTCTCTTTTCTATTTCTTTTAAAAAAATGTTCTGTAAAAAAAAAGGAATGCAATCCTAACACTTGCTACAAGGATGAACCTAAAGACATTATGCTATTACACTTATATGAGGCACTTACAGTAGTCAAATTCATAGAGACAGAAAGTAGAATGGTGGCCGCCAGGAAGTGGGACAATGGGGAATTAGCGTTTAATGGGTACAGTTTCAGTTTAGGAAGATGAAAAACTTCTGGACTTGGATGGTGGTGACGGCTGCACAACAATGTGAATGTACTTAATGGCATTGAACTGCACACCTAAAAAGGATTAAATGGTTCATTTTATGTATACATGGGACCAGTAGGTCCCTTACAGCACACTTTTTTACCACAATTTTTTAAAAAAGAAGATGGGCAGGGGCCAGCTCTTCGAGTCTTTTGTGCAATTCTAAAAACTTGGGACATCATCTTAAGGACTAAGCAGCATCAGGAAAGGTTCTAAAGGGGTGGATGGGGGCTAAGAGAGATGTCTCTATGCCTCAGGTCAATAGGTGTAGTAAGGCCTAGAACAGAGCTTTACACGAAACAGGCACTCAATAAATACTGGTAGAACAAAACATAAAGAAGTAGAAATCCTGCCTAGTCTTAAACAGCCACCCCACCACCACCAGCAATTTATACCAGGAGTGAAAAGCAGGGAGAACTGAGTTTCCCAGAATAAGTTGCAACCCGTGCACCCAATCTTTGAGGTCTCAGTCTGGGTCAGACAGCCCCTCACTCCCGCTGTGGGCAAAACAGAGGGTGTCCTTTCCTGGGGAAGAGCTCCCTATGATTCTCCCACACACTTCCCCCCCACACCCCACCCCCGCCATCAAATTTGCCACGGAACCCCTATTAATGCTCCAGTAGGCAGAGGAGCAGAACTAAAAAAATCACAAACTAAAGATCAAACTTCCAACCCAACAGACACTAGCTGGATGGGTTTTTGAGTCAGGCTCTTCTGGGAGGTAAAGGAAGATGGTATGATATTCACTTCCCACAGCAGCCTAACAGCTGGACGCGAGGTAATGTAGTCAACCTTGGCAAAACGCTCCGCTGAGACGGTGCTCCCCAGCGCCCATAGCTCCCCTGAATAGAGGACGCATCACACAATACCGTACTTAGATTCTCCGTGGACACTGCCAACTACCCCACCCATCCCTCGGAATGCGGGCTCCTGCACCCTTAGATCCGCCTCTCCGGTACCTGGAAGAGCTGGCACTACCTGCAAGGAAGGCCAAGGCCTCCGGCAAACCCTGGACGCGGTGCTGCGCAGGGCACAGTCCCCCTAGCAGCCGAGGGCTGCTGGAAGCCTTCAGAGACAAACAACGGAAATGAGTGCAGATGGCAGGTGAACACTAAGAACTCCCAGCCTGAACATTGCTGCCACGTGAAAACGTGGCCAAGTGTTGCCATTTTATTAATTTATTTTGGTATTTCTTTCGTAAAACACTCAAGGGCCCAACCAAGACGCTTCTGCAGGCCAAATGCGGGCATCACGCGGCCAAGTGTGAGACCCCTGTGTCTACGCCAGGTTCAGCGAAGACTGAGGCTGCGACCCACCGGCCCCTAGAAGGCCAGGCAGCCACTTACGAAGGAGGAGAAGGACGGGAGGAGGATCCTGAGGACATTGCACCCAAACACAAAGCTGAGTACCAGCAGCCACGCCCAGCGGTCGGCCTCCACGGCGCTCATCCCGGACGCTCCCAGCAGCTTGAGCTCCACTACAGCAGATGCGTGGGGACCACGCCGTCTCTAGCGCCCACGCCTGCGCAGTGAGGCCTAGTCCGCCGCGCCTGCGCACTGCGCAGCGCGAATGGGGAGGCGGGTCCGCCTTTTCCATTTGGTCCCGGCTTATACCTCTTCCCTGGCCTTCTGGGCTTCCGTAGCCTGCTCCCACGCACCACTACTCCCGCGAGACGTTTTCCAAACTCGGGTGGTTCGTCTACTAGTGTCTCTAGTTTGAGTGTGTCTGCAAACCACTTGTGTTATTATGTAATTAATACTTTCTTTAAATTGACTCACTTGTTTTATTTTAAGTACAAAACTACCGTGATTACAGTAGCAGGTATCTTTAAAAAGAAATGTTTCCTAAGTAGTTATATGTAAAGTATATTTTTACATGTCAAAACTAAACACTAATAAATCTAAAGTTTCCAAAACTGCATACCTAATTAAACATCACTGTTTACAATCAGCCTGTAACAAACTAGTTAACCTACATTTAGGTGAAGATGGGGTATAACAGCAAAAGAATCCCAATTTGCATTTATGTATATCTATGTATTTATGTATAGTAAATAAAAGATGTCTACCTGCCTCTTCTGCCATGGCTGGAGCCTAAGGGCTAAAACCTAATCACAATGGATCACGGAGCTGTGGTTCTACAAATTTCTGTTTCCAGAAAACATGTGAAGTGAAGCTTAATAGCGGTAGGATGAAGTCTTTCCATGGAAACGCAGCTTGGCTAGTAGGTGATGCTAAACTAACCAAAACAAACGGCTTGGAGCCTGCCTCTCCTCCATAGCCTTCCTCTCCAGCTGGACCATCCACAGCTGCAGCCAGGCTACTGGCTCCTTGACAAACTAGAGATTTAGAAGAATTTGCAGAAACTACCTTCTGGAAAGTTACGGCAGCGCCTCCGCTCTCTGCCTTTCAGGCCGAAGAGGTGAGTTTCAGCTGTTCCCCACCCCACTATCACATACCCCCAGGAGGAGGATCATCAATTTCTGGTGAGGCAAGAATTTGACAGAAAACACCAGACAAATGTCCTTGAATGTGTAGCAGTGATGGGAGAGGATCTGGCCCTTCAGGGGCTTCATTGGGACAGCTCTCAAAAAGAGCACTCACAATGGAGGACTGAATTTTCCCACCAACATGTGGAAAGAAAATACGAAATCCAAGACATCTCAGTAGGAATCAGTCTAGATCTAGTAACCAGAGATGTGCTCAGTACTGAGTGACAGGGTCAGTTACTGAAGACAGCCAACACAAAGTGGATTCTTCTCAAGACAGGCACACCCAGACAGCACTGAAATACAAGGTGAAACAAGATGGCCTCAACTATTCCCAACACAGCCCTGGCTGGTTTGGCTCAGCGGTTAGAGCGTTGACCTGCGGTCCGGAGAGACCCGGGTTCTGTTCCCGCTAAGGGCATGTACCTCGGTTGCAGTTTGTCCCTGGCCCTGGTTGGGTCGTGTGGGTGGCAGCCACTCGATGTGTCCCTTTCACGTCGATGTTTCTCTCTCACTTCCTCTCTCTCCCTCCAGCTCTATCTGAATAAAAGGTGGAAAAGTGTCCTCGAGTGAGGATAAAATAAAAATAATTAAAAAAACTATTCCCAACACAGTGACAACGGAGGGGACAAAGAAAAGAAACAATTTAGTGGGAACTTAGTTTACCTATTCTTTGCTTTGCCCACTTGGTTTTACTAAATGAAGATGATGATGATGATGATGATGATGAGTACATACAGTGTTGAATTAAAGAGCAGAATGACGATCTTTCCAGAATGAATTAAGTAAAATCTGCAGTGTTTATTTCCATGACTAGCACAAAATAAGCTCAGGCAGTTACCTTGAATGCACAGATTTTATAGCCATTATATTGCTCACTAGCTGTCAGAGTCCTGGATTTGTCCCATATGTTGGCAGCCTGTTTTAGAATCCAGGATGCATTAATGAAGTATGAGGATCTCTTGGAAAATTGCATTCTAGCACAGCTGAATATTCAAGCATTCCCTTTGTGAGCACACACATATGTGCAATGTAAATGTGTATGTGTGTGTTAGGAGCTAATGAGAAAAATATAACACTGTAGTTTGAGCAATTTTGCCGTTTTTTAAACTTGTTAAAAATTTTGTGCAAGATTTTCAAATGCAAATGTTACATTATACGTAATGGCAGCACTGTTAATATTGCTAGGTAGTTGTTGAACAACATTGTGAATATACTAAATGCCCTGTATTGTACCCTTAAAGTGGTTAATTGCATGTTATATAAATTTCACCTCAATTTTTAAAAATTGCTTGAACCACCCTGGCCATGTAGCTTATTTGGTTAGAGTATCGCCCCCGTATGCCAAGGTTGTGGGTTTGATCTCTGGTAAGGACACATATAAGAATCAACCACTGAATGCATAAATAAGTGGAGCAAATCTCTCTCTCTCTCTCTCCCCAATCAATTAAAAAACTAAAAATTGCTAGAACCAAATAACCCTTAAAATGCTTATTTTGGCCTAGCCAGAGTGGCCCAGTTGGTTGAGTGCCCTCCTGTGCATTGAAAGTTGCCGGTTCAATTCTCAGTCAGGGCATGTACCTGGTTTGCAGGTTTGATCCCTGGTCGGGGAGCCTATGGAAGGCAACCAATTGATCTCAATCTCTCTCTCTCTCTTTCTCTCCCTCCCACTTTATCTGAAGATAAATGGAAAAATATCCTCAGGTGAGGATTTTAAAAAAGATTTATACTGTGTCCAGAAATTTATCTCTAAATAAGCCTTTCATTAGCTTTTTATTTTTTTGTTTTGTTTTTTTCTTTTTCTTTTTGTGGTACATACCCCTAGCGGGAACCGAACCCAGGACTCGCTGGTCCTCAGGCCGACGCTCAACCACTGAGCCAAACTGGCCAGGGCTCACTAGCTTTTTAAAAAAATAATTTCAGCCCCGTCAGGTTTGGCTTAGCGGTTAGAGCGTTGGCCTGCAGTCCAGAGAGACCCGGGTTTGGTTCCTCGGTTGCAGTTTGTCCCCAGCCCTGGTTGGGTCGTGCGGGAGGCAGCCACTCCATGTGTTCCTTTCACATCAATGTTTTTCTCTCTCTCTTTCTCCCCCTCCCTCCCACTCTATCTGAACAAAAAATGGAAAAGTGTCCTCAGGTAAGGATAAAAATAATAATTTCAAACATATAGAGAAGTTGCAAAAAATAACAATGCTGTCAAGAACACTAAATACTCTTACTTCTTCGATTCACCTACTTGAACATTTTACCCCATTTACTATATCACATTCCCTCTCTCTCTCTTTCAGTACATGACTATGAATAGTCTCTTAGATAATCACAGTACATTCGACAACCTCAGTAAACATTGATACAATACTTTTCTCCAGCTGCCATTTGTGTTCCAGTTTGGTCAGCTGACTGGATAATGTCCTTTGTAGCATTTTCCCCCTCCAGTACAAGATCCAGTCCAGGGTCAGGTATTGCATTTAATTGACATGTCTCTTTTGCTTCCTTATCTGGAACATTTCTGTAGATTTTATCTTTTATTACACTGACATTTTTGAAGATGTAGTTCCCCTAAAAAATAAAATTAAATAAAAACCAAGAAACTGCCGACCTATTTTCCAAAGTGGTTTAGCCTTTTACATTCCAACCAACAGGGTTTGAATCCAGTTCCTCCACATCCTAATGTCAGTCTTTTACAGTCATTCTAATAGGTGTGTAGTGGTACCTCACTAAACTCTTCTGCTATATTTATATTTCCCTAATGACTACTGATATCGAGCAGCATATTTGTGCCAGTCCCTCTCTGATGTTATTTTCTTTTAAATGCAGATAGGATAGAGAAGGATCAATTTTAATATTACCCTGCTGCCCCCAATTGTTCTCTCCGAAAGCAACCACCGGCACCACTTTCTTGTGTATTTTTCCTGAGATATGCAATGAGTGTATAACTTCATATTTGATATAACTATATATTCAATAGGTGCTATGGAGAAAAGAAGGCTGAGACTGGAGATAAGAAGTTGCCCTTTTAAAAGGAAAAGTCGGGAAAGGCCTCATTCAGAGGGTGAAGTTTGTGCAAAGACAGGAAGGAGACTGAGGAAGAGAGCTGCAGTGATCTGAGGGAACAGTGACAAGGACCGGAAGCAAGGAGTGCGGGGCCTATTTCAGGTTCAGAGGGTGAAACAGTGCGCAGTGGTGAAAATCACTGATGTGGGTGATGTGAGCCAGGTCACTCTAAGGCTCTAAGGATTTCAGGCTTTCTTTCTTTTTTTTACTGGCACAGAATACTTTTTATTATTTATTTTATTAATTTATTGTTGTTACAAAAGTTTTTCCTTCAGGCTTTCTTGATGGAGAAGGGAAGACACTAGAGTTATTGATCAGGAGTTACATAGCCTGACTAATGGTTTTCAAAATTCACTTCCTCAGCAACAAAGATGCCTCATATTTTTTTCTCTCAGTAGCTCAGTATTCCATCATGTGAAGGTGCCACACATTTTATCCAGACCTCTCAAGTGATCGACATGTGGTCTATTTCCAATCTTTTGGATTCAAAAGTAGCCTTTTTCTTCCTCTCCAAGAATTCCAGCTGACAATTTTTCTGATTAAAAAGTTTTCTATAATCACTCAACTCAATTCCTTCTTTTGAATGTAATTATTTCTGCCTGGCCAGTATGGCTCAGTGGCTGACCTACGACCCTTGCACCACAAGGTCTCCAGTTCCATTCCCCAGTTAGGGCACATGCCCAGGTTGTGGGCTTGATCCCCAGTGGGGGGACAAGCAGGAGGCAGCCCATCTATGTTCTTTCTCATCCATGTTTCTTTCTCCCCCTCTCCCTTCATCTAAAAAAAAAAAGGAAAAAAGATAAACGCAATTATCTCTTCATTAAAGAAAGAGTAACGTGCGGTCTGATTCCAGGGTTCACAGCTCAGAACCCCAGTTTAAAGCCTTTCTGCTTTAAAAAGGTGCTTATGTGAGCAACTGGTGAAAATGGGACAGGAGCTGGGTGGGCGTGCTTTCAGCTTCACTTCAGCTCCAAGAGGGAGAGGCGGGCCGGGGAGGTTTGGGGGGGGGGGGTTGCCAGTGGACGTGTCTCGGGGACCCTGCAACCCTGGCTCCGGAAGGAATGGATGGTCCAAACCTAACCAGAAGGAGCCAGGCAACACCGCCGCGGGCCAGCCGCGAGTCCCGAGACGTCGCAAAGCCCCGCACCTGCGCACTGGCACCGCACGAGAGTTGCCCGCTCCCGCTTTCCTTCCCACGACCTCCCTTCCAGCGCCTGCGCACTGCGGCCCGCTTCCCGCAGGCCTGCGAAGCTAGCAAGCCCCGCTCTCCTTTCTTGCCGACTGAAGTGGGAGAAACGGGCTCCTACCCAACCCATTGTCTCTCCCCTCCAGTGCAGAGCCGAACTTGAAACGTTCCCTCGCAATTCGCCTCGGAGGGAGGGACTCCAGGCTTGTGGTATGCAGTGAGCTGGCGAGCGCTCAGGTATCCAGGAGAGTTGTGGGTGGGCGGCACCCACGGATCACGTGGCGGGCATCCACCAATAGGCGGGCAGACCGCACTTTGCGGCTCGGCTTCAAACTACCGTGAGGCGAGACCGGCCTCTGAGGCGCCGCCCCACTCGCCTGGGTCTGGGGCCCCGCGAGATGGCAGGCGGGAGTGGGGGCGCCGAGAGCGGGGGCGGGGCGCAGTGGTCGAGTGACGGCCTGCCTCACCTATTCAGGGCTTGGACCGCGGCGGAGTGGGCCCCGCAGCCAATGGGAAGGGGCGGGGGCCGGCCCAGTTGGCGAGGAGGGGGAGCGAGCGGCCGGGGGACGCGGGGGGAGGAGGAGGCGGGCTCCCAATCCGGTTTCATCCGGTTCTCCCACTGCCCCCATCGCGGGTCCGAGCAGCTTGGGCGGCGGGAGAAGCGGCAGCGGCCAGGCAGCCCAGGTTCGCGAAGCCACAAGGCGCGCCGCGGCCCCCAGGCACTCAGCACGCGCCCGCCCCGCTGCCACGATGCCCAAGAGGAAGGTAAGCGGGGGCCGCGGCCCGCACACGCCCCCTCGCCGCCAGGCCCGCTGCGGCGCCCCGCGAGGCCCAGGCCTGGCGCCTGCACGGCGCTGCCGGCCTCGGAGGCGCCCGGGGACCTGCGGCGGGCGGGGGCGGGCGCACTGCGGCCCGGGAGCGGCGCTGGGGGACGTGCGGTGGCCCGGAGATCCGGGTGGGGGATTCGAACGCGGCGGCGGGAAGCCCCTGACGTCAACTGGGCATTGTTCGGGCGGGCGGCGCGCGGGGCCTCGGGCACTTTGTTCGGGGCTGCTCCACGCGCCGGTGTGCTTCCGTCCGCAGGTCAGCTCCGCCGAGGGGGCGGCCAAGGAGGAGGTAAGCGCCCTGCTGCTCGCCTGGGGGGAGGGGGCGGCCGGGCCGCATGCCTCATGCCTCGCTCATTTTCCCTTTCCCTCCTGCAGCCCAAGAGGAGGTCGGCGAGGTTGTCAGCCGTAAGTAAAGCGCCCTGCACCCGTTTGTTTCTCGTGGGATCGTGCCCACGGAAGAAACTCAGTGCTCCCTTTGCCTTTCAGAAACCTGCTCCTGCAAAAGTGGAAACGAAGCCAAAAAAGGCGGCGGGAAAGGTAGGTTTCAAACTTACCGTAATGGCCCTGGTGTCTTCCAAAGGCTGCAGAGCTGCTCGGCGCGTGCCTTCCCCTTAATCAATCGCTGTTGCTAAGGTCTTGGCTTGGAATGCCTCAAAATAGTTCATGGTTAGGTGTTAGTCTCCTGCGATGTCCAGATTTTACCCTGTTTTGTTAAGTTTTATATATTAACAACTTGAATACATTTTTTTCCCCTGATCTGGGTAAAATATGGACATAATTGGGCTGGCTTACGGGGATATAATGTGTCTCATTAGTGCTGCTGCAGGATTTAGGAAACTGAAGACGACCAAAATGTTAAATCTTAGCCTGAGCTTACAAAGGAAACCCATTCTTTGTGTGTGCGCGTATATGACCATACATACATGGTCAGTGTTTGTCCCTGGTTGCATGCTTGTGTTTCTTTTGATGATAACAGCCAAGTTGGGACTGAGGCCAGGAGAAAGGAAATGTGTAAATTTTTGCTTGTAAAGTTCATAAGCCAAAGTAGGGGATCGCATCTTAACGCGGGTAGATCAAGAGTTGTGGTCTCTGAGAATATAACTATTCTTAAAGTGTTTTACTTGTTGTTATGTGTAAGGGAGTTCATTGCATTGTTCATATTGCAGGTCTTTGGAATGAAGTTCGTGGGGATGTGTGCATTTGAGAACTTAAGTCAGAAAGGGTAGAATATCTTAACTTTGTTGGATATAGCAGTGAAACCACTCTGCTAAGCCCTCTGTGTTCTTCGAGGGAAACTCGTGTGATTAATTTCTGTTCACTCAGAAATTGAGAGTTTGTATTTGCAATCTCGTCCCCCAGAAAATTCCTTCATAAAAGCACATAGCTCTGCCCAAATGTCCCCCTCCACCCCGATTTCTTTGTTTAAACATGTACAGAAGAACCGAGTGTAAAAATCTTAACTTTTCATCGATAGAAAGTCTTGTGATTTTTTTTTCCCCAAGGATTCAAGGAAGGTACAAACATAGTACATTAACTTAGAATTTCTCACACCAGATTTTGAGGGCTGAATTAAAAAATAGCGCACCTTGTTGAAGAATGTTGGGAGGAGCAGTGTACTATTATTACCCATCTTTTATTCTTCGCCTTTTTAATAAACCAATTGGCTGAAATACTATACCTGTTTCCCTCTTAAATTATTCTTTTTTTCCTTTTTTATCTCTCTATATTTTGATCTGCCTTAAAGTATTTTAACGAAAACAGTTCAAATTTTAAATCCAGTTTGGGACATCAAATGTAATAAACATTTTTCTTTCTCTCAGAGGTCAGCCGGTGAGTCTTCATGTCAGTGTTCCTTAAGGAGCAAACCTGTCAGTTCAGTTTTCCCAAAGGAAAAACGGAAGCAGTGGCTTTGTTTTCCCTTTAGTTTATATAATACATCTTTGTTTTTATAATTGATCCATTTGTTTTCATAATGGATTCATTTAAAGCCTTAAGCAGAAGGTAAAGCTTTTGATGTATTGATTACCATACTACAAGTTAGACATGCTTTTTTTAAAACATGTATATCCCAGTGTGTGCTCCTGAGATAATTTCCTTAGATGCATTTCAAAAATGGAAGCATACATTAGAAAAACATGTTGATTTATTTGGTTCCTCTACCTTCCCGGTTATTAATAGTTAAAAGTGGTATTATTTCAATCCACGATATTAATGCATATTGTATTTTCACTTTTAAGGTTTTACATTTTTATGTTACCGTGATGGTTGTGAAACTAATGAGAAATGTAAAGAAATCAAATTGCAAACAAATAGTTATTTTATAAGGATTGTCTTTATTTTATTAATTTATTCTTCCTCACCTGAGGATATTTTTCCATTATCTTCAGATAGAATGGGAGGGAGGGAGGGAGGGAGGGAGGGAGGGAGAGAGAGAGAGAGAGACAGACACACACACACACACATACCAATGTGAGAGAGACACATCATCTGGTTGCCTCTTGCACGACCCTGCCAGTGACGTAACTGCACCCAAGGTATGTGCCCTTAACCAGAATCAAACCTGAGACTTTGGTCCAAGGGCTAACGCTCTAACCACTGAGAAAAACTGACCAGGGCACAAATAGTTTTTTTTAAAGTACGGATGTGATTGTGATGCTTCGTGGTAACAACGTGTGTAGAGGTGTTATCCCAAATGTTTGTTTGCATTATTTAGTATTTATCCTAAAAATATGGAATTAATAGTAGTCATCATGCTGTCTCTCTATGTATGGAATACCACAACTAGTAGAGAATACATTGCATTGATTGTTTTCCCTCCTCTTGGCATTGACCTTTTTTGAATCCTCACCTGAGGACATTTTTCTATTTATCTTCAGATAGAGTGGGAGGGGGGGAGGGAGGGAGGGAGAGAGAGAAACATCGATGAGAGAGACAAATTGACTGGTTGCCTCCCTCAGGACCCTGACCAAAACCAGGGATGAACTGCAACTAAGGTATGTGCCCTTGACCAGAATCGAGCCAGTGCCTCTTTGATCCGAAGGCTAACACTCTTAACTGCTGAGCCAATAATGTTCTATATTGCTTTAAAAATGGCTTAAATTTTGAACCTATTTTATCGTTACACTAATTAATGTGTGTGCTTTCAGATTCTTCAAACACCTAAATGATAAACTCAAAATTAATCATTTTAGCTGCTCATTATATGATAGTCAACCTGGCCACACCAACATGGTGCTTTTTTTTTAGGTGAATGGGCTTACTGTGAGGATAAACATCTTGTCAGGACAGTGGCGTTTTTTTTTTTTTTTTTGGTACATGCTTCTAGCAGGAACTGAACCCGGGACTCTGGTCTGCAGGCCAGTGCTCCAACTGCTGAGCCGAACCGGCCAGGGCAGGACAGTGGACATTTGACTATTTGATTATTCATGATTAAGGGAAGTTTGAGAGTTACCGAGGAAGAGATTCCTCCAACTGCTCTTCACCTCATTTGTTTTGCTCTGTGGAAATTCAGAAAATAGTGGGTAATGGAGAAGGTGTTGGGGAAAGTTGTGTAGCTTAGGCTTTAGGTTTAATCACAAGAGGCTTGCTAGGCAAGTCCTATTACAGTTCTCCTTAGCAGACTTGGTTGTCCTGATTACTGGGGGTGGACCTTAAGGTGGCTCCTGTAAACGTGTCATGTAACTCAGGCTTATGTGGGACAGAGCATTAACCTTGCAAGTATTGTGGATACTGTCTGTCATAGGATAAATCTGCAGACAAGAAAGTGCAAACGAAAGGGAAAAGGGGAGCAAAGGGAAAGCAGGCCGAAGTGGCTGACCAGGAACCTAAAGAAGATCTACCCGCGGAAAATGGAGAAACTAAAAACGAGGAGGTTAGACTGCTTGTGTGTTGGTTTTTGTCTCTTGACAGTGGATAATAAATTGTGTTGTATACTTTCATGTAGCCAATAAAACCATCTTCTTATTTTTCATGTTAATCCTCACCTGAGGATATTTTTCCATTTATTTTTAGATAGAGTGGAAAGGAGAGGGGAGAGAGAGAAAGAAACATCAATGTGAGAGACATATTGATTGGTTGCCTTCTGCGTGACCCCCACTGGGACCAGGGAGCAAACCTGCAACCCTTCAGGCCGAGGGCCAACACTCTGCTTGCTGAGCCAAACCAGCCAGGGCAATAGTCTTCATTTGTAAGATACTGAAAGTTTTGTACAGTGACCTCAAGTGAATAGACTGATTATTTTATTTTTTTTTTCTTTATTGATTCCAGAGAGAGGAAGGGAGAGGGAGAGAGAGATAGAAACATCAATGAGAGAGAACATTGATTGGCCACCTCCTGCATGCCCCTCACTGGGGATTTGGCACCTGGCCATGTGCTCTGACTGGGAATCGAACCAGCATCTTCTTGGTGCATGGGTCGATCCTCAACTACCAAACCATACTGGCCGGGCTGTGTTTAAAATGTTTAATTTACTAACTGGTATGGCACTCGTTTTTCTTTTACATGACCTCAGGACTGTTCAAACAAATATTCTAGTCTCTCTTTCAAATTGCCATCTGTAGAGCTGTTGTTTTTATATTCTGGATATTGCTTTAACTTTTTAAAAATTCATTCCCTTCATTTGGCATATTTTTACTACTTTCACTTGTAATGAATGAAGGTGGTTTGTTTTTCTTAAAGGGAGCCACTTGTCTAGGACTAAGTAATAACTTAGGTCAAGAAAATAGAAAGTAGTAACTAAGATAAGCAAATACATAGTATATATGATATTAAGTTCATGTTCTTAATCTTTATTCTTTTAAGCTGTTTTCATTGATTTTAGTAGAGAGGGTGACTGAAGAGAAACATGGATTGGTTGCCTCCCATATGCACCCTGTCTGGGCATGGAACCCACAACCTAAGTATGTGCCCTGACCAGGAATCCAACCCAAAACCTTTTTGGTATATGGGACAATGCTCCAAGCAACTGAGCCTCTTGGCCAGGACAGGAAAAGAAGCTTAAAAGAAAAAGTAGGCTACAAGGTTTTGATAAATAACTTTATAAGCCAAGCCTTTTTTTTTATTGACTAAACTGGAAAAGATAAATAATTTAGGTTCTTATTTTTAAACTTTTCTATTTATAGATCTGATTTTAATGTGATCATCCACTTACAAAATCTGCGATCACAATTTACTTTTAGCAAATATTAAAGTGCTATAAAAAGACATTACTAATCTAGTTATGAGGGAAGAATTTGACCTACTACGTGTTATCAAACTAGTTGATTTTTTTTACTCGTGGTGGTGGTATTTTATAAGGTTGCTGTGAATGCTGAACAGTTGCAAATAGGGGAAACACGGTAGACTCCTGCAACACTGATCACATCACTTCCATCAACTGATCAGCACAACCTTATTTTATGTGTGTTCCCGTTTAGTATGTTGTCAGTACGTTAGCATTGAACTCAGGGCCAACAGAAACAGCACTGTGACTCATGCCTAAATGAAGCAAAACCCCCCTCCCCCATGTTTGTATTTTCTCTATAAGACACATCACACCATTCTTTCACTTGGCAATACTGCAAGACAACGCTATACTTGTCTAGACAACGTCATCCAAAAAAAAAAAGTGAAATGTGTGGCACTAAACAGCATGAAAAGATGCTTGTTTACAGTATTAGAGCTGAAACAAGAAGGCAGCACAACCTCAGCTGGGAATGCGCCTGTTGGACAGCTCACATTTTTAGTGTTGTGTCTACATGCAACTAGAAGCACCATTAGTATTGATTTGGGGGTTACAAATTTAATGAGTAGGTAAATTACAAGTGATGAGGATAAGTTTTCAAGAGAGAGAGAAAGAGAGAAACATCAATTGGTTGCCTCCCATGCAAGCCCCTGCTGGGTGCACAGGATGACACTCCAACCAACTGAGCCACACTGGCCAGGGTGAGGATTGACTGTATTTTAAAGACCTAATAGTTATATATGCAAGTAAAACTATATTGTGTGAAATGCTAAAGATCTCAAAGATTATAGCAATGATACAGAAATCAAATGTTTAATCATTATTTATTTTTTTTGCAGAGTCCAGCCTCAGATGAAGCAGGAGAGAAAGAAGCCAAGTCTGATTAATATCATATACCATGTCTTATCAGTGGTCCCTGTCTCCCTTCTTGTACAATCCAGAGGAATATTTTTATCAACTATTTTGTAAATGCAAGTTTTTTAGTAGCTCTAGAAACATTTTTAAGAAGGAGGGAATTCCACCTCATCCCATTTTTTTAAGTGTAAATGCTTTTTTTTAAGAGGTGAAATCATTTGCTGGTTGTTTATTTTTTGGTACAACCAGAAAATAGTGGGATATTGAATATGGGAGGCTTTGATTGTCTTGGGTGTCAGCTTAACATTCCATAGATGGGGGAGGTTTTTATATCCTGTAATACAAAGCATACTAAATGGCAGTTTGGAGTCAGTTGTGCATTTAATATGTCTTGAACATTTTAAATTACTTCTATTCCCATGTTTTTGGTATAATTGTTTCCTAAAGAAACCACTCCTTGATCTTGGCTCTCCCTGTCAGAAGTCCGTGCACTCTGTAACATCTTTGGCGTGGTAGTCCAGTTTTCCTAGTAACCTTGTTAATGTGCTGTGAAAGATTGAAAATTTGATTATGTAGTATATATGATATTAAATTGTGAATTAGTGGGATTTTGATGTAACAGCGTATCAACATTTGAAGATATTGGTACTTGATACTCTTGAGGAAAATTAGCCTCCAAATTTTAAGCTGGAAAGTCACTGGAATAACAGTTTAGAAAAGAATCACAACTACATGACTTTACATTTTTGGTACGTATGTTAAGAATTGTGTACAAATTGAAATGTCTGTGTACTTATCCTCAAAACAAACAATAAAATCTCAATTGTGAAAGAATTGTTTGAAGCACATGAATTAAGTTCTGGCTTAAATTTTATTTAATTTCCATATACTTCCAAATTTTTCTTAAAATTTAAACTGAAATATTTAATTTTTTTGTAGTACTTGAATATCTACATTGTACTTTGAAGATGTTAGTGTGACTAAATTGGTTTAATAATGGAGAAACAGTTCAGTGTCCTCTGAAGCAAAGTAAGTATTCACTCTTCACAGGAAGTCAGCTTATACGTAGTGACTAAGCTAGGATTAGACCAGTGGTTTGTATTTTTATGTTTTAGAGATTTGCTTTTTTGTATATTTGACTTGGTGTTTTACCATCAAAATAGTTTTAGGAGGTGGTGGTTGGTGTTGGACATCTGTGCTGATTTGGCAAATGCAAAAATAACAGGGCCAGAGAAATCGCCTTGCCAAGGTTACCAGTAAAGGGGGGGGACCTTGGAACAAAGGTTGGACTTGTGTACTTCACACGTTATTTTGCCTGTGGACTGATGTGTAGGAGGCAAGAATGCTTTAAAAACAAGATTCCTAGGGTATCAGCTTTGCAAAGACTAAGCACAAATGACCGTTTTGAGCACAGTTCTTAGGGAGTGGTGAGGTGCGACAGCTTAAAAAGTGTGAGACTACAGAAAAAGCAGATGCAAAAAGGATACTGACTGCCCTGGCCGGTTTGGTCCATTGGTTAGAGCGTCAGCCTGCGGTCCACAGAGACCTGGGTTCGGTTCCCGCTAAGGGCATGTACCTTGGCTGCAGTTTGTCCCCGGCCCTGGTTGGGTCGTGTGGGTGGCGGCCACTTGATGTGTCCCTTTCACATCGATGATTCTCTTCCTATCCTTCCTGCTCTATCTGAATAAAATGGAAAAATGTCCTCGGGTGAGGATAAAAAAAAAGTTCTTAAAAAAAACTAAAAGGACACTGACTTGGGATGAACTGAGATGGAAAAGGGCTTTGGCAATCCCTGGAGAACAGGAAAGGCATCTGACCAGGTTCCCCAATATGTAAATTAAGTAAACATTTTCTCACATTTGACGCAATGTTTTGTTTTTTCAATCCTCACCCAAGGAAATTTCTCCATTTTTGTTCAGGTTGAGTGGGAGGGGAAGAGAGAAATATCTACGTGAAAGGGACATATCAAGTGGCTGCCTCCCACATGACTCCAACTGGGGTGGGGGACAAACTGCAACTGAGGTATGTGCCCTTCGTGGGAACTGAACCCAGGTCTCTTGGGACCGCAGGCCGACCCTCTAATTGCTGAGCCAAACCAGCCAGGGTGACGCAATGTGTTTTTGTACCATAATTTCTCTAGTTCCTATTTGTACCAGTTAAAAGGGATGCCTAAAAATAAACTAATGAAATTGAACCCATCCAGCAGTGTTCATTTATACTACGCAAATTTCCTCACCCCTAGGAATGATCATAAATCGTTCTGTCAGAAAATTTTTCTGAATTGTTCTGAACTCATTGCTTCTAATACATATTTTTCTTAAAAATAGTATAGCAAGGTGTTTTGATTTCTTACAGATTGATGCCTAAAGGGAATTATCTTCTGTACAGGAAACTGGAATGGAAGTATACTTCCAGATTCTACTGGCTTGAGCATTGTCCTTCTGTGATAAAATGAACCCTCAACTACTGTTGAAAGGGAAACTGTTGGTAGTTTTTTGTATTTTTTTAATGACCCACTTTGAGGTCTAATGTCTAGGATCAGTACTTACAAAAAAATCTCGTCCTTCCAACTAGTGCTTTTTTTTTTCTTTTGAGACATTGATTTGTTACACTTAATTATTCATTCATTGGTTGATTTATATATATATATATATTTTTTTTTTTATTGATTTTTTTTAGAGAGAGAAACATCTATCAGCTGCCTCCTGCATGCCCCCTACTGGGGATTGAGCCCGAAACCTGGGCATGTGCCCCAACTAGAAATCGAATTGGGACCTCTCAGTCCATAAGACAATGCTGAATTCACTGAGCCACATCAGCTGAGCATTGGTTGATTCTTGTTGTGCCCCAACCAGGGATCAAACCTACAACCTTGGAGTATCAAGATGATGCTCTAACCCACTGACTACCCAGCCAGAACTCAACTAGTGTTGAACAAAACAGTGATAAGAAAGAATGTTTGACTTGACATCAATTCAGACATCCTAAAAGGACAAGGAAAATATTCTTTCTAGTAACGATGCAAACAAATCTTTAATGTGTTAACTAGAAAAACCAGTTAAGCCCTGGCCAGTTTTGCTTAGCGGTTAGAGCATTGGCCAGCGGGCCAGAGAGACCCGGGTTCGGTTCCCGCTAACGGCACGTACCTCAGTTGCAGTTTGTCCCTGGCCCTGGTTGGTCATGCAGGTGGCAACCACTCAATGTGTCCCTTTCACGTCGATGTTTCTCTCTCTCTCTCTCTCTCCCTCCCACTCTACCTGAACAAAAAATGGAAAAATGTTCTCGGATGAAGATCAAAAAAAAAATTTTTTAGCCCTGGCCAGTTTGGCTTAGCGGTTAGAGCGTCGGCCTGCGGTCCGGAGAGACCCGGGTTCGGTTCCCGCTAAGGGCGCGTACCTCGGTTGCAGTTTGTCCCCGGCCCTGGTTGGTCGTGCGGGTGGCAGCCACTCGATGTGTCCCTTCGCGTCGATGTTTCTCTCTCTCTCTCCCTCCCACTCTATCTGTACAAAAAATGGAAAAATGTCCTCGGGTGAGGATAAAAAAAAAAAATTTTTTTTAAACAGTTAAGACCCCTGCCTTCCCTTGGCTTATCAGAGGTTGAATTTGACCTTTCCAATGTGGGTTAATCAGAGGTCTTAAGACACAGAACCTGGTGCCTAATACTGCAATTCATGATAATCATGGAGGCCAAGGGAAAACTAGCATGGTGAAACTAAAATATGGGTAATTTTTATTAATCTTTACAGATAGATCCTAAAGATATATCCACCTATCACAATCCACAGTTGTTCCATGAGCTTGCAGTAAAAATAGCAGTCAGTGTTCAGAGTGTGTAAAAGTGTTTGTGGGGGTGGGGACAGGAATCGGGGGGTTGGACAGGTGCAGGGAGGAGAACTGTGTATGTATGTAATTTAAGTATAGAAGCAACTCTTGGAAAAATGAGGTAATACAGACAAGCTAAGAACATCCTTAATTTACTAGACAACTAAAATGCATTTTTCGCAGATCTTTTCTATGCTAATGTGAATTCACAAAATTGGTGTTACTATGCATCCTATTTTGTAATCTCTTATACTACTATGTTAACTCTATAGCATTTGTAAGTGTTGCATAGTATTTTATTTTGAGAACATCATTTGTCAGATTTAGACACCTTCCCCATTAAAACTAGCATGGTGAAACTAAAATATGGGTAATTTTTATTAATCTTTACAGATAGATCCTAAAGATATATCCACCTATCACAATCCACAGTTGTTCCATGAGCTTGCAGTAAAAATACTTAATTGCAAGACAGTTGAAAGTTTCAAAACATTACGCTTTGAATAGGTGAGGAAGAGTCCTGGAGGATGGGAAGCAGCTCCATAACAAGTTGGTTTACGTTACAAGAGTAATATGTAAGATTTTGTTTAAAAAAAAAAAAAAAAACCTAGGGGAAACTTCCTCATCAATTCACAGAAAATGGCAGCTGTGGTCTGGGGTCGCTCGGCTTCTTCGCAGGGTTTCTGTCTCGGACTGTCATTGTTTTATGAGTATTTCTTTCAGTATTCTCTGCCAATCTCCTGCACAGGATGGTTAATCTGAGTTCCACCTCAGAAGCAACGGGACCAGCCTGGGAATTACAGTCCCTGAGAGGGAAGCAGTAGTAGAGATGCACACGCTTTAAGGTCAGCAGACCGAAAATGGTAGCTCAGTGGGATGAAGTCAACGATTCCAGAGGTTTAACTAAATTAATACATCTTTTGATGAAGAATTAATTTATTTGAGTAAAGGAATTCTTAAGTTTTACACAGTAATCATCCCATAGTTTACTGCAGAATCCACACTGGGCCTTTTTTTTTTTTTTAAGTCTACTCGGGGTCCCTTCCTTTGGGGATCTACCTACTCGTATCTATCTGCTGGCTCTATTCTAATGAACCGCAAGCACAGAGCCCGACCTCCCAGATCACAGAGATGGAAATGCCAGGTCAGTCACACTCCTAGGAACGGAATCTTGCATGGAGAAACACCCGGACAGAAGGCAGTAGGAACTGAGTCCTCTAAGGAGCTGGTCTGTCAGTTCATCTCACTGAGATCCCTGGAGAGGACAGGCTTCTAGACTGGTCACTTGACAATGTAAGCTACTCAATACACTAGTCAGTCTATTTCTCTATTTCTGTTTCTCTCTCTTTTCCCCTCTCCTTATGTCCTTCCCTTCTCTCTCTTCATCCATCTCTCGACTTTTCTCTCTCTTTTTTTTTTTACTTTGGTCAGCCATAATTGTTTTGTTGTTGCCTAAAACTAAGGAATCCTAACTGATACAAAGTCATTGTTTACAGCGTGAAGTTTACAAATAAATACTTCACAACAGCCCTGGCCCGTTTGGCTCAGCAGTTAAGAGCATTGGCCCGAGGACCAGAGAATCCAGGGTTCAGTTCCCACTAAGGGCACATACCTCGGTTTGTCCCGCCCGTTGGGGGTCATGTGGGTGGGGTCTCTCTCATATCAATGTTTTTCTCCCTCTTACCTCCTCTCTCCCTCCCTCTCTTTCTGAAGCTAAACTGCAAAAATGTCCTTGGGTGAGGATAAAAAACAAAAACAAAAAAAACTTCATGCCAGCTTCCAAGAATCTCTGCATACCGGCAACAACTTTAATTTTCCTCCATCACTACTCCCCTACAAGTATAGGGTACTGTAAAAGGGATCTGTCCTGTTTCCCTCCCACTTCTCCCTACCCCGCCTTCCTGCCTCTGTGCTTAGTTTAGTTCCTCATGCTGAATGCCCTCTCTCTTTAACATCTTGATTCATTTCAATTCCTGACTTCTCTTTTGAACTCCATATTACTTTTGTGTTGTTGTGGAAATCTGTTATATTTCT